CTCCTTCCTGCTGCAGACCTGGGCTAGGACTGGGTCTGGGGGTTCCCAGAAGTCGTCAGAAATTCCTACTGGTCGGCAGGGGTGGGGCAGGTAAGGTGGAGTGGTGGGGGGCGGCCCGAGTGGGTGGGAGAGGGTCCTGCCCTCACTGCGCCTGGGCTGGGACTGGCCCCGCCAGTGCAGGGTAGCAGGAATCTCTCCACACACTCACCAGAACTGGGCTAGGACTGGGTCTCGGGGTTCCCGGAAGTCGGCAGAAATTCCTACTTGGCGGAGGGGTGGGGCGGTACGGTGGAGTGGTGGGGGGCGGCCCACGCTGTGCCTGGGCTGGGACTGGTCCTGCTGGCGCAGGGTAGCAGGAAGCTCTCCACACACTCACCGGGCCTGGGCTAGGACTGGGTCTGGGGGTTCCAGGAAGTCGGCAGAAATTCCTACTGGGCGGGAGGGGTGGGGACGTAAGGCGGAGTGGTTGGGGGCATCCCGAGGGTGCGGGGAGGGTCTGGCCCATGCTATGCCTGGGCTGGAACTGGTCCCACCGGCGCAGGGTAGCAGGAAGCTCTCCACACACTCACCAGACCTGGGCTAGGACTGGGTCTCTTTAATGACCTTTTAAGTAAGTGTTCATCTAATATATTTTATATAGTCCTGCATAACTGTCAGTTTGAGAGTTCTTTATTGTTCATCCAAGAGCATAATGCAACTTCTTTTGCCTTTTGAATTATGCTCTTTGTTATGTCCTTTATGCTACATCTGGAGGTTTTCAAATATTTCAAGTTTGTATAACTGGAAAATATTTTACTTTTAGTTTTTGAAGGTATGTTTACTAAGTATAAAATGCAGATTTTTTTTCTTTCTTTCAGTCCTTTAATTAGTCTAGTTTCTTACACATTTGGTCTTTTTTTGTCTAATGAGGAATAGTATGCTATTTAATTTTGTTCTTCCATAGCTAATATTTTTATGGATATGCTTTAATGATTTTTTTCTTTACAATAAGTTTTGGACAATTTTATTTTTTTTTTGTATCCTGGTATGATTTTATTGATATTTCTTGTGCAAAAGGTTCATTTTTTTCTTGGAAAGGTGGTGTTATAAGTTCAACTAAATTCAAAAATTTTAAATCTTTAAATATGTATTGCCTACCCCTTTCTACTTTGAGAATTCTAATTATATTAATATAACTTTCTTGAAAAAAATATTGCATTGTTTTCCTAGTGTGAGAACTCAAAAGAAGAAATAAAAATTGAAAGGTATGTAACACAATTAAGTGGAAAGTGAGAACTTAATGTTTAAACAATGAAGAGAGAGAGAGGGGGAAAGTTAGGAAATATGGCAGGGGTAAAACCATATATTTATTTAAACAAGATGGTTAAGGCAATGGTACTAAGAAACTTCATCATGTTTTTTAAACAGCAGTTAGTTGGTAGAATTCTCACTCTAACTCTATATGCTGATACCAGTGAAGCAAACAACTACACTGAAGATAGCAATGTGTAATACTAATACTGTGCTTGAAATACCGTAATTTTGGTCATCTAAATGTATACTGATTCTAATGTCATATTGCTATAATATAATTATGATGTAGTTATTGCTATAATCTCTTTAAAATAATTTTTTAAAAAGGTATTAGAAGAAAACCAGAGACAAGAAAAATGCCACAAGATTGTCCTGCTATAATGTTGTATATGGTTTGATTCCTAACTTTCAGTGTAAAAGTGTATAATTGTTTTCTTTCACATTCTATAGGGGTTTAAATTTTAGAATATCCATGGTTGCTCAAAATAGCAGTTCCATTTAATCTCTAAGGCATTTGATATTCAGACAGATAGTGATGTTAAACTCAACTGCCTCTGCTACAGGGTAATATCATTAAGCTTCTCTTCTGATGTTTAACAACTAAAGTTTGCAGGCCAAAAGTTAGAGAAATGGAGGAGTTAAAAGGATAGACAACATTTTGGCCCTAGCTCTTTATGATCAATGAGGACTGAGAAAATAAGAGAATGTGTGCTGTGATATCTGATAACTAAGTGATGTCCCAAATTTTCTGATTAAGGAGATTATGGTGTTACAGAGGAAAGTAATCATTGATGTACAGTGTGCCTAAAAGAATGACCTAGAGGAGAAAATTCTCTCAGGCTTTCAAAGAGAGCAAATTGGTCAAGCAGTGACCATGTGTCATCCAGACAAGTGACACTGACAAAAGATCTACATGGTGTTGTAAGTGATTCCAGTGTAAATCCTGAGAAGATTTGACTGACCTTGTTAGATACAAAAGTTACATTTTTAGCTATATAAGTCTTGTTTTAACTTGGTCTTAACCATCCAGCAGACAAGTATAACCACCAGGTAAAAAAATAATGCCATATTAATATGTTGAGCTGTAAGAGGTTCAAGTCAACAACTTCTGATAATTGCCAGTTCTGCTGATAGATCACTACATTATGGATTTTGAACTAATTGAGTTATTTTGCTGAATTTAAATACCTACAACCTTTAGACTGGTTTCAAGAATGAAAAGTTCTTTTAAAATCTTCAAATACAGCTTCTCTAGCTGTAGTGGAACACTTATGTCTTAGAAAAACAAAATAAAAAAAGGGGGATATGTTAGGAGCAAAGAAGCTAGAAAATAGTTCAAATATATGAAGGTGGGGTTTGGCCCAGTGTCTAAAGCAAACAAGCTATCTCATTCCTGAGATGAATATCCTGTCTGGTTAATGTATGCTATCACTTGGTAGGCAACTCAGTGTCATGCGTTACTGACTTCACAAAAGTGTAAATAAAGGACATTTTTTCTGAAAAAAAAAAGAGGAAGAAAAAAATATATATGTATACACAAGAGAGTTAGCATAGATATACAGCTACTTTCCCTTAGTTCACTGAGAATGAAAGTTTTTATTAATATTGTTTAGACAAGATACATGTCTGCATATTGTCCTCTGAATAACTACCATGAAGACAACAATATGCAATGTATTCATTACTATAAGTGTCCTACTAACATGTTTTGAAACTGTTTCATCACTATTCTATCTTTTTTCTCATTAAAGTGAATAAAAATTATTTTAAAAATTATGAGCAACTTAAAAAGAATAAAAGAAAAAAATTAAGCATTAACTGCTCCATTCAAAAGACCACAGAAATTGGTAGTACACTTATTCAAACTCTCCTTCATATATAACTCAACATATCTTTTCCACCTCTTTCTTTTGTCCTTTTTCTCCTCCCAGTTCTTCCTTCCCAATGAACAAATATTTTCCCTTTCACAGTAGCTATTGTACATTTTTACTCTTTCATGTTCTCCTACTAGTGAGACAAAATAATGTTTTCACATCAAAGTCTGATTTATTTCGCATACCAATATAGTCTCTAGTTGCATCCATTTATCTCTGAAAACCTCAAATTTTTCTTTTTATAACTGTGTAATACTCCACTATTATGGTTTATACGTATTTGTCCCCTCAAAGCCTCATGCAATCATGGGGCAGCCTTCTACAGTTTCTGATTAACTCGTGATCCACTGGGATTATGGATGTGAGTACTGCTAGGATTATGAGTGTGAGTATTACTCCCAGTTTGGGCCAGACAGCCTGAAAGCAACTTAAAGGAGACAGACTTCCTGTCTGTTCCCTCTGTTGCCATTGCTACTGCTACTTCCCAATTTGCTATCTGCTCTTTACTGCTGTCACAAACTGCTGCCCTCTGCCACGTGTCATTCTGCCTTGAAGATAGCTGAGTGTCAACTGAAGCCTCCAGTAACTGTGAGCTAAATAAACATTTCTTTCCTTGATTTTGCATGTTGAGCATTGCCCAGCAACAAGAGAAGAGTAGCTGAGGTGTCACTCTGTGAAAATAAGTCATTTTTATCCATTCCTCAGCTGTTATGCACTTTTGTTGTTTCCAAGATTTAGCTAAGTAAAATTGTGTTGCTATAAACACGAGCGTACATGTACCACTGTGGTATCACGATTTCAGCTCTTTTGGAAAAATTCCTAGGAGAGAACTAGCTGGCACAAGGCAGATGACAACATTTTGTGGCAACATAAAATAGAATGGCCAGAGCAAAAAGAGGAAGAGCAGTAGGAGAGAGTAGGGCTCTCTCCTTTCCTTAAATTGCATTCAGTCTATCCACGCCCAGGGCAGGTGTAGCATCTATACCCATAATCCTAGCATTGGATCATGAATTAATCACAAACTCTAGAAGTACACACAATGACTGAATGAGGTTTTGGGGAAAAAACTGGACACAAACCATAACACGTAGTTTCTTCTCATGTTAAGTGAGTGCAATACACCAGATTACCTTTAAGGAGTACATGTGAAATCTCATGGTATAAAAATAAAAAAAACAAATAATCTCTTTATGGAGCTTCAAATATGATGAGGTAGACATCACACCCTAGAAAGAGACTTTGAAATTAATAGGTGTCTTAATGGGGATGATAGAACATCTATTTTCTCCCATTTTTACATGAAATCAGCCAGGACTGCAGGAGTTTGTCTTTCTCAGGAAATAAATAGAGGATTCATTCAACTTACATGCCTCTCTTCAGGTCAGAGAAGAATGCATCCTTTTCAACTTGGGTATTTCTGGTTCGGATATATATTCAGAGTTTAATGCCGTAAGTATACGTTTTGAGGAAAGTGAGAGTCCTTAAATTCTACAATTTGTTAATATCTGAATTCTACCCCATTGTTTCCTGTGCTTGGTTCATCTTCTCTTTTTCTTTTTTTGTAGAATGTGTAGAGGAGATGGCTCAGTAGAATAAGTGCTTCCCTGGCAAGCACAAGGGCCTGGGTTCAATCCCCGGTCCTCAAAAAAAATATTATCTACTTTACATTTATTTGTTTATTTTCTCATTAACATTCTCACTTTGTTTGCATTAGGTTATCATTCATCTTTGTTTTTACTTTCTTTTTTGAGGGGAATCTCACTATATAGTCCAAACTTAGTTCCTCTTTGCTCAGCTTCAGGATCACAGATTTATACCACTGAACCTGGAAGTAATATTCTTTCTTTTATGTATCAAAACTCATGCCAAACAATGAATTCTGGGTTGCAAAAGAGGATTTATGTTTTTCTCCTATTCATTTAAATTTTATTCCACAAAAGATAAGACAAAAACACACAGAAAGGCCCGCCAAACAGCTCAGCGGATTAAAGTGCCTGCAAACAGGCACAGGGGCCAAAGATTCCATCCCTGGGCCTGCCATGCCTGCCTCACCCCAGGGGCCACTGAGACAGCAATTAAGACTGGATGTGGTGAGGCGCTCCTGTAATCCCAGCTCTTGGGAAGCTGTAAACAGTCCAGGCTGATAGTGAGACTCTGAACACCTTGTAGACCCTTCCCTAAAAA